CTCTCTTATTTATGCTCTCTTGTCATAACTTAATTAAATACTCATCCATCAATGAATCAAGACATATTTTACCATTCAACTAGTTACTTCCTGTAGAATCAGTACTGAAAGTATTGTCGAAGGGTTCATGTGCACTTTAAGTTTATTGCTAGGCTGCTACATCTCACAGAACGAATAATTTTGCTAGAATTATTGCATAATTTAGTGACCTGATCGCAGAAAAAAACACTAGATTTTGTCGCAGTTTTTTACAGAACTAAGAACTAAGTACCGATCAAAAAATGAGTCAGTCTTGTAAACCTTGCAGTTCCCTTAGAAGTAATACATTTTGTAAGCTGTATGTAGCTGTAGGGAGGTAGGGGGTTTAATCCCGTCTACGCTTGGATGATGCATGCATGGTTCACGATTCGGTCTGAGTCTGAAGATTTTGCATGGTAGCCTATAGCACAATGCATGCAGCCGCCGATATATTATTAAATTTTCCGGGGCGGTTTTTTTTTTTTCCAGGCCAGTGACGAACTGAAAGGATATGAAGGACAGTTTGCTGTCAACTCCTACAACGACACCAGCATGTCGAAAAAGCGCCAATTCCTGACTGCTGCAAAGAGCTTAATCCATACAGTTTGCAAGAATCTGACAGTTGGAACAGCTCCAGCACAAGCGGTCTCGAAACTTGCCGGGCTCCACGTGCAAAGAAAAGCATGCAACGAAACCGACAGTACGCTAAGTGACGTTCCTTGTGAAGGCTGCTCTGGGGTTGCAAAGTACAGAATTACAAAGAGTCTCTTAGAGAAAAACAGTCATTGGAACTGCTCGCAGGACAACGATATCTGCGATGGTGTATGCATCGGCTCAGTGCGCATGCCCAAAGATCTAATTTCCAACTATTCTACTGGCTGTAGATCTCACGTGATTCATGTTCAGACGTTCAACCCCAAAACTGCTCAGCTAGTTCAAGTGAGCAGTTCCGGAGAAGCCATGTTGGTCGAGATTGAGTTTGACGCAAACGGGTCGAAAACAGACAGCTCTGACTATAAGGTAAGAAGAAAGTAGCAGCTGTTGTTAAATGAATGGTCTTTGATAAAGCGGGCTAGCTTCATTTGTGATTGAAAAATCGAGAAAATCAAAGTATTTATTCAAAATTCACGAAACACTCCCTGTTTGCTCAGCTGGTTGGTCACCGGTGTTGTGCGGGAGCTAGCTCAAGCCACGGTTGGACTAATACTCAATGTCTTAAGGTTACCTGTCTAGAAAGTGCTGAGTTTCATCTAAGAAAATAGTTAGGCCTTTGCCGTGACTCAGATAACTACGTAAAATGGCGATCCCGTCTCATTCAGAGACGTTAAAAGGGGTGCTTACCATTTACCCGCAAAACCCGGAAATTTTGGTTGGAAAAAACAAATAGTGTGCATCATTCCGATGAAAAAGTTTCAGAAAAACTCTGTCTTCCGATTAAGGTAATCCACTTTCCCGCTCTGTTCGGTTATTTCGGTAGGGCTGTAACCTAGAGGGTTGTTCATGTATGTCGTGAAGAAAGCTACGCAAAGTAATGTATGAACAACAACACTTCTCATTTTTTTAAAATTCCATATCTCCAATTGACCTTATTTCTGGAGTTCGAATTCCAGTTAATTTGTTTATAGATAAAATAAAAATCCATCATCTTATTCTTTCAGTGTTCGGTGTGGCAACACGATGCTGGGCGTTGGGATGGATCATTCTGTAATTTGACCATTCTCCCGCRAAGTTCCAATAGTAAACCATACGTGGCGCAATGTAACTGCACTCGCCTTGGATCAGTTTGCGTAGCTTTCTCTACGACAGACATGAACTATCCTCTAGGTAATAGCCCTACGACGGTAGCACCCGGAGGCTCGAGCAGTACTACCGCACCTTCGGGAGGAAGTAGTGGAGGCAGTGGATCGACCACCGCATCCTCGGGAGGAAATAGTGGAGGCAGTGGATCCACCACCGCATCCTCGGGAGGAAGTAGCGGAGGCAGTGGATCGACCACCCCATCCTCGGGAGGAAGTAGTGGAGACAGTGGATCCACCACCGCATCCTCGGGAGGAAGCAGTGGAGGCCAAGGAACAACAACCGCAAGGAGTGCTGACACTTCAGGTAATTTAACTTCGAACTTCTTCATAGAATTAAAGTTTAACCTAGCTCCAAAACCCGACTTGAATAGTCGAATATGTCTAGCCTGCGTCACATCCGGAATTTTCTTCGTAAATACCGTCTATTTAAATTCCGGATGTGACGCAGGCTAAATATGTCCGGTCACAAAAATTAGTTATCGTCTTTATTCTCCAACAATTTCTTTTTACACCGCTGTACTGAGCCGTCCGTACCATACCACGCCATCGTCGTTCCCTTAGCAATTAACTCCATGTAATAAGTTTAATAATAAGAGTAATAAGTAAAATTTATCAGTTAACATGTGTAACATCACAATCGACATCCCTAACCACCACCAGAACTAGTCTCCCTCGCATCCGTTTTTAGTGTCGGTCGTCACGCAACGCTCCCTCAGTCCGTGGGGAGGAAGCGTTGCGTGACGACCGATACTAAAAACGGATGCGAGGGAGACTCCACCAGAACCAACACCACGTAAAAAAATTTCTAAGTGAAGCGCTGATACCTAATAGCGCAGCGCACTGATTCTAAAAATAGCTTAAAGATTCGGACAAGCATTGCATTTTATTTAACCGCTAAGAGGATTATACGAACCCATTTTATTATATTTACTTAAAGTTACAATAATAACCCATGTAAACTAAGATCAACTGCGATCGGCTGTGAAAATTATCTGCTGAAAGTAAACTTGTAAGTTTGTTTGTCCGAATTTCGCCTTTGTCTTCGTTTTTATGACGTCACGGTTGTGCTGCGCTATTGCATTAGCGGTGAACTTGTCAAGAAGTTGTCAAAATGTTGTGGAAGTGTTGACTCCACTGTACGGTGCGTAGCACAGGGATGATTAACCTAACCGTAGAATAAATCAAAAATCAACCTTACTATTTAGATTTGGGAATTTTGGCTGCTTTGATAATAATGTTTTTGACTTTTATATCATATTCTCCATTCTTGTAATAAACATTATCGTTTTGCATCTTAGGTGCAGTTTATGCGTCCTTGAAACTGGAAGGAGACTGCAACAATATAGTTGGCACCAAAAACGAGCAGCCCTTTCGCACAGCGGCCAAGGCAAAACTATTAGAGGCATTACGTGTACGACAAAGTCAAATCGTAGACCTTAAAGTCAAGTGCGGCAGCATCATCTTGACATTCTTCATCAATCAACTTGATCCGTCCACTGTCCAATACAATATAAGTAATATTGGGACAATTACAACTTCAAACTTTTATATTTCACTCCCTGATGGTACAACATTCAAGGCAATCCAAGCTCATGTGGGATATGCTTCCGGTAATGTCACCGTTTATGCGCCTCCACAGCCGACTATTCCTCCAACAACCGCTAAGCGGTACGAGCTAGTGTTTGATTATACTCCTATCATGGCTGCCATAGCGCTAGGCATCGCTTGTATCGTGTTGTGTGTGTGTTGTACTTGTATTATTCATTCGTGGTATTTGAGAAAGGAAAAATATACTGAGTACAACAGCATGACGATAAAAGAATACGAAGAAAAGATGAGAGCAAAGCAACAGAAGGGAATGGAAGGGAATGATATTCCAATGACAGGTAAGAAGTTAATCACCATTATCATCATCACCATCATCA